ACTCGAGAGCCGGCAAAGCTGGCGTCCTGATAGCCCGCATAGCCAGGGGCTCATCGTCATCATCTTCACCCTCTGCATCCACATCTGCCTCTCCGTCCGCGTCCGCGTCCGCGTCTGCATCGGCATCAGCGTCAGCATCCGCATCAGCGTCCGCATCCGCATCCGCATCTGCGCTGTCACCGCCGAATAAAGAGTCGGCGTCAGATTTGTTGTCATCTGCTCGCGGCTCAATTTGAGCCAGCGGAACGTTCGCGGCAGAAACAAGAGGTGCATCGGCAGCCGTGACTTCTGCGGCCGCATCATCGGTGCTTGTCCGCACGGAAGCATCAACATCCATCGCATCGTTGCTAGGCGGATTCCTGAATCCCGTATCTAGACCCAAAGCCTTGTTGAGATCTGCCGCGGGCGTCTCTGCTGCCAGAGGCTCCGTATTCTGGGCTTTCTCTAGGGTGCTCTGGGCTGAGTTGTCCACTTCAGGCGCAGCCTCGGTCGCGCCATTGCCCGGTTTTGCGAGTGCCACATCTCCTGCAATGAGCGGCGATCCTGCCTTGCCATCCAGCGCATTCTTATGCCGATCATTGCCTAGCTCCGCACTGTCGTCCAGGGGCGGAGTACTGAGCTCTTCTTGCGCGTCTGTCTGCGGATCTCTGGCATCCTGCGATGGCTGCTGAATTCCGTTATGCTGCGTAGGACTTGAGCTTCTGGAGAGAGATTTGGAAGTTCTCGCCTTTTTCCGCGGCGATTCGCGGGTTCCATTTCTCAGTGCCCGGAGTGACACTGTAGGACTTTGCGTAGCAGACTCCTTTCTGCCGCCCGGCTGCACGGGTCGCATGGAGCAGGAAGAGATTTGACCCGCATGTCCTGTAAATGAGCGGACAATCTGTCCAGTGTTGAGATCCCATTGCTGGCGCCGATCGAGAGAGGCTCAGCTGCGCGTCCCTCGCGCCTGGTCTTGCGTCACGCTTCACTCACATGGACACCCCGATCCCAGCCTCCGCTGATGAGCGTGTGATCCGCATCTGCGAGTGCCAGTGCCGAGACCGCGCCCCTGTGTTTGCGAAGCACGTGTCTCAACTGCCCAGGCTCGTGCCTGATGCTATAGAGGTTGATGTTTCCAGACTATGCGCAGGCCCGATGGAATGGTAAAGATCGATTTATTGTAGTTCAGTTTTGATGTAAAATCGCGCTGCGCACGACACGTGTCGACTTGCGCCTCTGCTCACCTCGCAACCACTCAAGGACCACAGCGAATCGCGCTGTATAGCGAGACTATGCACCGCGCTGACTGGCAGATCGTCATCCTGAGCCTGCTCCCCTTTGACGACACTGTGGAGAAGAGTGATAGATCAATGCGAGCCACTGACAAGAAGGACGCAATCTATGCGTGGACACTCGACCCAACTCACGCCACCTCTTCGTTGGCCCACCAAGCAGTCAGCACGCCGCCCTTGTGGATGCCATCGCTGAAATTGTGTTTCATGTTTTGCGTCAGGAGGTTCCTGCCGTTCAGGCTGGCGTAGACGTCGTACTTGCGCACGTGACCGTCCGAGCCGCCGCTGAGGAGAGTGGTGCCGTCCTGAGATAGGCACATGGAGTGAATGTGAGCTGAATGAGGGATGGCGCCGATGGGTTCGATGTTGAATGCCTTGGCAGAGAAGACGGAGGGAGAAGGTCGAATAGCTGCCAAGCGAGCCAGCGCCAAGGCGGTGTAGGCCCTGGGTGATCCGTTGGCTAGACCTGCCTGCGACGTGTCTGATGCGGATCCTTGCCGTGCTGGCCGCCCATCCACGTCTGCGAATCGAGAGTCAAAGTAGCAAGAGCGATCCTTTTCAGCACGCGCATCGTGCACAAGGTTAATGTCGTGCCCCCCGCAAATGCCCATGCTCATGCTCACCCATGCCCTCCCCATCGTTTTCCTCCTCTTCTTCTTCGTCGTCGTCGTCGTCATCATCATCATCATTATCATCATCATCATCATCATC